CATATCGCTAAGCCCTCGCAACTGACGTCAGTCGCACCGTCATTCTGACAGTACCGTTATGATCACGCATGACGATATGCCACCCACCGCTTTGGAATATACATCGTCTTTATTTATGTTCGCATAACCGTATCCATTTTAATCGCTACTTTCAGGTTTCAAAGTTTTACCAAAGTTTATGAGTTTTGCAGAGCGACTAGTCTCAGTGTGCCAAACCGTGACGAGCTGCAGACAAGTTAAGTTTCGTTCATTCCACCGACGCATTTAGGTAACTGCTATCAATTTTAACGGCCGCGAAAACCTCTTGTTTTAATTAAACAAGCTTCAAGAAGTAGTATTTGTCCGCATATTATTCAGCCACGACCCTCCATGAACACAAACGCTGTCAGTTAATCGCGGTTAATGGTAGGAATTTCCGTCCCATAAATGTGCTGCTTGGTTCAGTTCTACATATTTTGTAGAGCAAAACAATGTGATATGTTTTACCTTCGTATATCCATCGCAATTTGTACGCTGTTTAGGAACGTTCAAAGGTTTTAAGGTAATGAGATTCTACGCGGACGATGTCCACCAAGTAGCAGGTAGTAGGAACAACTCCATGAGCTGTTACACGTTTACAGTTTGTGGCAAGAAGAGACACTCAGAACCGGACGCTGATGACATGAATTAGCTTTGATATCAGTGTTAAACCATCAGTTGAACTATCGATGTTGAGATAAAAATGGTTGCTTTGCAGCAATGGGATTATCTGGAACCATCGGAATATTAGCTCAAGCCACAGACTGAACGACCAAGATGAACCACACTGATGCCGGGTGTGGAAGAAATAGGGTTTTGGTTCTGATGGGTGAGAACAGTCGCCGGTTGGCATTATTGGGGCAAAAAATTTCGGCAGTCCATGGAACGTGGTTGTTGTCATGGGATAAACAAGTGGGTTTATGGACAGAACACGCAGAAGGCACAGTTGTATGAACGCTTCTTTATAGATTTGGCATGAGCTCTGTGGATCAGAGCGGTCTTTTGGGCGCACGTAACATCCCCGGCCAGGAAATAACAAAGATTTGGTGAACTACGGTCAGGCAATCAGACTAAGCTCGGCACTCCTATCCTCTTCGGGACGAGATTTGCAGGGCAAACGGGCAGCTAAATCCAGAAATGCACCAATTTGCAAAGTAGGAACCGTACTTGAATGATGAGCACACTAAGAACCGCCTAACAACCTCTAAGTTATCCGAACATGTCACACTTGACGCTCAGCAATTGCGATCGGCAAACCAACGAAACGTTGACGGTTTTACATTGAGCCTACTGAATAGTGTTAAGTGGCACTCACACGCATCATCATTATTGATCCTACCCTCAGCAACGACCGCTAGAGCTTTACGCATAATTTATTGTGATGACTTTCCCAGGACTTTAAATGTCCCTACAGAAAGACCTGGAAGCTTAGAACTCAATAGAAGCAGAAAGTGAGGCGTCCACAGAAGGACCGAGTGAGCCAGGAACGTAGATGATACTTGCTGTGGATGAAACCCACCACGGTCTTATCCCTAGGCCCAGTACAAATTAGCAGCTACAACGTCTCCCAGAAAACTTTGAAGTGGAATACAAATCTTCGTACGGGCAGAAGCAGATAAACATTCTTATCGAGGTCCTTACACACTGAAGCGGAAAGGTAAATTAAATACTTTTGGTGGAGGTGCATTTGCAGTATCCCACACAAAAATTTGGAACGTGGGAATCGTTCAAAATAGTTTCATTATGTGCTCCACCAGCTGCCGATCGCATTTTGTCCTCTCATTGTACCGACGATAATTTCGGTCACTTGTAGCTCATAAGGGCGCAGTATCCGCACAAGGCTCTTAGTTGCGAAACCTAAAAGAGTGGAGTAAAACTTCTGCGCCTGAATGTTGAATCTTGTTGCGTGTGTGCTCAAACCAAGAACTATTCCAAACTACATTCATATATTTGCAGCTCACTAAACTTCATTGTCCACTGGAGCAATCATGCTTCTGGCGGGAAGGTATGATGGGATAATTTTCCAGCTTCGCGAACACCCAGGAATGCCTAAATGGGGCTCAAACGTTTAACCTGGCACTCTGTATTCAATTGCTTGATTGCCTTAATCTATCAGGGACTTGTGATAGCTATCAAAAATTCCATTAAATTGTGGGAATACTGAGTGCCTAGCAAATGAGAATGGCCGC